TGGAGAGATTAGAGGAATTGAAACATGAGAAAGAGAAATTCTAGAGGGAAACTTCTGAGTTATACACCAACAGGAGAGGTCTTTGACGTATTCAGATGACCTTGTTGTGCTTCAATGTGTTTGTACGACAGCTGAAATCTCATATATATCATGAAAATAAGCGAGTTGAATAAAATACATGTCGTACTATCATTGAATTCCAATTCCAATTTAGAGAAACATACTTTCCATCGATGGCATCCAGAGTTTGATACAAGAAAAGTGCCACAGCTGCGAACAGGTAAGCCAAAGACGGTGCTTCTCCCTACAACTCGACGATAATGTAGATTCGTGATAGATTGTTTAGTTAAATCAAGGTGAGCGTGAACGATTCCTTTCTGCAAGCATGATACATCAAAGTAAAAAAATTCTACTTTATTCTGTTGGATGGCACTTTCACGGTATAGCAGTTGATGGCGCTGACTGAACTTCACGGGGGTGGACACACAAGATTCAAACTCATAGAATTGAAAAGAAAAGTAAACGGCAGAATTTTAGATCCACAAACAAGGCGACCTATGTTGATGTACTACGATACGCAGACTCAAGCCAATTTATAATGGTATGATACAACAACCACTGGCTGTGCTAGTATATGTAGCTTTTTTGCATTCACAGAGATAATGACTTGAAAGTAACTAAAACTGTCTAGATCAAGTCTACATAGAGATATGTGGCAAAACAAGACGTTGCGAAAAACATACCTCGAGTTTGGGTACAAAGAATGTGAGCACGAAGAACGACAGGATCACCAGACACAGACCGATGAGTGTAATCATGTTAGGAGCAATGGTCATGGGCACCAGCTCGATGGCCTTATTCCACACATGAGTATTGAGGAAATTGTCCAAAGGAGTATAGCTCCCTAAAACAGTACATAAATTTAACAACCGAAATCGTGCATTCAATATGGGAATATGAGTCGCTCACAGCAAATAAAGGGATTATGAAACGACAGCGAAATACAGTGAGGGCCAGCCGCATACGCAACAAACTACCGCCGAATGACTATGCGTATAGTTGCATCAATAGACTGCCTACAACGAACTTGAAAGATATGTAAACAAACGCGAGAGAAATCAATCATACATGCGTTCACATGTCAATGTGCAACTCGGGATGCAGAATTTCGTGTTAGAGATACATAAAAAAAGCAAGAGAAAGTAAATAACAGACAGGAAAGCAATTCATTTATTTACGTCGGGATTCAACCACGAATTAAGAGCTGCTTTCTTTCGTAATAGTCACATCGCTATAGCAGTACATGAAAATATGAGCGTACACACATTGCTCAACTCGTAATAGAGTCTCATCAGCGTATGTTAGTTCACACGTTAACATTTACACTCACATGTACATAGGCATATGAATCGATCCTCGCCTCCATATAAGAGGGGTCATAATGCGGAAGAATTGATATACCTGACTGATACTTGTATGCTTTCAACTGGGCCAAGCCATCATCACAAACGACCATGCGAGAGTTCTTGATCTGTGCAAAAATTGATAAAACAGGCATGTACTATAAGTTGACAGCCCTCAATTAAAATCTTAAAAACAGTTCTCACTATACATGCTTCTGGATGGAAAATCAAACTTGGACAAGAAGTATGCCGTTTTGATTTGTTGCAGCTAAGATTTTATTGTGATACAAAGCTGTATCAATGATGACCGAAGAAAATATACCCACGCCAATGATTGGGATATCACAAAATTATTACTTAGAAACATGGCGACGTACACATACAAAGACACACTCCTAATTATATGAGTGTAACAAATTTCCACATACTTGGCCACACACTTACACAAACACACCCATACACCCACACACACACATATATATATAACTATATAAATGTATTTACAACTATGAAAAGGCATATACACAAATACAATCATAAATACATATATATATATATATATATATATATATATATATATATATATATATGTATATTTATATATATATATGTATATATATATATATACATATATATATATATATATATATATATATATATATATATATATATATA